CCTTTTCGTGACCAACTCATCAGTTTTAAAATATATTTTTTGCAAAAGGTCGCTTAAAATTAGAATTACAAGCATATATTTTGTGAATAATTCTTCCCAAAGAGAAATCTGAGTTTGTTAATTATTGATGGGAAAAAATGAGGATCATGTTGGGATTTTCCCAATTAGTAATGCTATTAACATAGACCTTGACAATCACTGACGGTTCGTTGATTTCAATGTCGCAAATAAATCAGCGAATGTAACTACGTATTTTCCTCGCTTTCGAATTAAAATACAATCTGCTATTCAATTTTACAAAGAATTATATACATCTCAGCACATCGTAAAGTAGATTTACACCATCCCACATATAATAGTTTTTTCATAAACCTCTTTGAATCCTAGACCAGTATCAAAAACGAGCTTTAAAAAGAACCTGTCATCTTTTTCATAAACCCTTCTAAGGCTAAAGAAAAAATTTTTCCTGTGTATTTCGTCTTCTTACTTTTCGTCTGTACTTTGTACATTTTCATTACATCATCGCTTTTTCAATTCATTTGTATGTGACCTTAACAAGTGTGCAATTTCAGTTGTTTATTGTAGATCAACTCGATCAGATAGCCCTATCCCTAGTTACATTGGCGGTTTATTCTTACCGTGAGCATGCCGCGACCACGAAAAATTGGCGATCACGCAGCGAAAATTGAACTTGATCGTGACACAATTACTATGGATTCACGGCATGAAATGAAGCACGGATTCCACTAAAGTTTTTTGATTAAATCTGTCAGGATCATGTTTATGCGTGCGTTTTTTTTGTTTTAATTTGCTTGCAAATTTTATTTAAATAGAGAAACTTATTTTGTGTTGCAAAATGACATTCCCTAGTCGTCAATTCTTATATAAGAATTGGACGGGAATCTGGTAAGGATCTTCTCAGCTTCTTGTCTGCTTTTGCTAAGAATCTTATCCGATTCTTATATAAGAAGTGGCACGAAAGTTGCACGAATTTCGTAAGAATCAGATAAGAATCGAGTAAGAATCTTATAAGAATTTCATAAGAAAGTGATAAGAGTTCTTATTAGTTTCTTGTTGAATTCTTATGAAATTCTTATAGCAAAAATTTTTTCTGATGACTTGCGATGGTTCCCTTAGCAATTTTGTTGAGTTTTAAGCAATAATGAACAAAAAAAGATTTTAGAAAAAAAACGGTCCGGTCAGGCTTCGAATCTGGTGAGTTGTTCATGACAATCAATGGGTTCCTCTATTGAGATACTGCGGACACATTTGTGTATAAACATCGCGTCTTTATATTCTGTTCAACATCTTTTTCAACTTTGAACTTGTGTTATAAGTGGTGCATATGGAAATGGTGTGTATCACGATGGAATATAATTTAGTGCGTCGAAATTTTAAGTTTATCATAGTAGATTCTAGACATGAAATTACGTTGTTAAAATTCTTTGGCTTAAGGAAAATCTATGAAGAGAAAGTTATTTTTATGAAATCTTACTGAAACGAAATGAATAGAGAATAATTCTTGCAAAAAACTTGTAACAATCTGATAAAGGATTCCTATCACTTTCTTATGAAATTCTTATAAGATTCTTATCTGATTCTTAAGAAATTCGTGCAACTTTCGTGCCACTTCTTATATAAGAATCGGATAAGATTCTTATCAGAAATTTCAAAAAAAGTTTGTCTAGGGTTAACGGCCTTTGGTTTCTTGTGTAAGGGATAGCTGCTAAAAATTGCTAATTTATATTGTTCTTCTTCATATTTTATTATACTGCATAAATTTTAAAAAAGTATTTGAAAATAAAATAATCGTGCATATATCAATGTATAACTATGAAGTCAAAGATGTTTTTTTTCTTGAATTGTGACGCCTCACTAAAAACCAATATAGACGTTACTGTTAAATAAAAAAAAACTGGCTATAGTATAAAAGATGATTCTGCCCATGGCAAGTGACTAGAAGACTTATCTAAAGAAAAGAATTTCTGATACTTTAGTATCTGAGATTAAAATTCGCACTAAGCCTAAAGCCCCGTTGAGATGCGCTAAATTCTCATCTTTTATACACAACCTTTTCTGTTAAAAAAGTACACACAAATTTTTGATTTTTGGGTGCAAAAATTTAGACAAAAATTACTGTATGCAAATTAAATATAATCACTTTATTCTCATCTGATATCCAATCGGTTATTTTTGTACACTCTTTTGTACTCAAGAGAACGGTGCATTGGACTATTGTCTTATACAATGCATGAGCATAAATAAGTTTGATAAATAAAAACATTTTGTGTCGTTACTAACGATTTGAGAAAATAATTTGCAATGTGTTTTATGTGTGATACGTATGTAGAGTTGATTCTTCAGTAATGGATGGCTTTTGTCAAATATATACATTTTTTAAAACCAGGGGATTTTCTCACTTAATTTTTAATAGATGCCCAAGATGCCGTGTACGAAGCCGCTTTATACAGCAATATCTTCGGGAATTGATGTGAGCGTATCGAGGCGGATATAGGGGATTGCATGATATGGTTTAATGCTAATAGACTGTAACTGTGATACACAACTTGTTCGAATAGTAGTATATGGAACATCATATTTAGCTTTATCAACTAAATCTTTTGTTGTTGCTTTTTTCTTATTTTCCCCTGCTTGACCCTGATGACTGCTAGAATATGGTGTCATGGATTGTTTACGTGTTGCACAATAGGTTGGTGGCGGACTATTTAAATGCCAGCAGAGTTTAGCGAGAAACGAAGTCAAACGTTCGTGTTTCTCATCCGAACTGCAAGAAAAAGGAATGTATCTAGAATACCTGATAAAACTGCTCCACAGAAGAAACATCTTTCTTGATCTTGATATAGTGTACATGCATGTATAATCTAACTATGTTTATTGAGCACTTCTCCTCAGAGGTGCAGAATCTACTGCTAAAATGAAAAATTTCCCTGAACGGTGGAGTTTTTTCCCTAGCTGAAAAAATAAAAAAAGAAGGCTTCTCTGTTTAGCGTGTATGCTCGAAAAAATTAATTTTTCCCAAAATTTTTTTCTATACCCCGTAGTTTTCCAAAAATTTTCCCCATCCGGCCGTTACCGCATGCGGGTAGATTCTGCACCTCTGGTTCTCCTAGTCTCTTCTTAATGCTATGCACCTTACCTATTTATTGGAGATTTTTGATGAGTTCTACTCGGAGATGCTTCTGGAATACAGCACATTTTCAATTGACAAATTTGAGTGGTTGATATGACAAGAATCGTTCTTTTTTGATCGAATGAAAAACGTTCATATTATATAGTATACGAGTATGTATGATAGATGAAACCTGAATTTGAGTCTTTGATCTCGTGATCGATTTTTTTGCCTCGATAAGGTAAATATAATAGGACTATAAATAATAAATGTGTATTACAGCACACAAATGACGTTGTTTTTTAATCTGATAGCATACGTACGATGCATGTGCAGTAACATGTGTTTTCAATATGAATCAATGAGACAAGACTCATTGTAGCAGACAGAGAATGATATGTAAATAAAATTGATTTTTACGTATATTTTTTTCTCATTAGTAGATAAGACGTTATATTTGGTAAAAAGAAAGAACATTCATAATTAAGAGAAACTGCGAAAAACTCAATTACACAATTTCCTTCTCAGTTAAACTAAAAAGCATTTGGCAAAAAAATGTAGAAAAGTTACAATCACTGCACTGAACTTTCTAAACAAGTGAAAAAGATCAAAAGACGATACCTCAGACGTTTAGGATGAGTTCAAAGAACGTCTATTGAGAATCAGTCTTTCAGTTTTTCAGACGTCACAGATAGGCGTTCTGTATTCAGGACTTTCTGCGTTCACTAAAAAGCTTCGTTCGCTAAAGAATATGAACTGAAATATAATGGTCAGAGCTGTCCCGAAGCTGTTAGGTTTGGGGGTCGACACTTCTTTGAGGAGCGACCGCCGTCGAAATCGTACAGAACGCAAGAAAAATGTTCAGGATTGAAATGGCACACACATACACGCGCGGTCCAGATCTGACAATGGTCATTAAACAGCAAAGTTTTCGTGGCTTTCAGCATGCTAAGTATTTAATAGACCTAAAAATGATCAAGCGAAGAGTCTCTTTTTTTTAAAAGCTTATCTTGATTTTTATTTTGACATCACTAGGTTTTATTCGATATATACAGGCGCAAAACAGCCAAATTAAGCAGCTCTTACGCAACTTACGCTTACGGTGTAAATAATATAAGTAAACAATAATTTGTTGTCATTTTCACCTTTCTTTTTGTACCTGAATGCTTTTCTTGAGGAAAACAAAGAGGTAAGCGAACAGCTATATTTCCATTCAAGGCATATCACCGACAGAAAGATCAAGTTCATGCACAGTCGCGGAAAAGTGTTTTTCCATATTCAGTACACTCGATAGCCCAGAATTTCTATTTTTATCGAGACGTACTGCCAAAAACTCAAGAAAAATTTTGGAACTAATATTATTTTCCCACAGAATTTGTTTTCGCCATCCTGTTCGAAACATTCTCCTAAACTTTTGACGATACATCTTGCCAAAAATAGAAAATCTTCTGGATTATCGAGTGTGCTGAATACGACGAAGCACTTTTCCTCGACTCTGCACGAGCTTTATATTTTCGTCACGTCGATATGATCATCTAATAGATTTTGGTTATGTAACTTTTTCAAATTCTGTACAAGGTCAAACGTAAACCTTTGCGTTTCAAAGTACAGTATATAAGTAAATCCCTTCACATAATAGAAGATCATCGTTCATTGAAAGTTCGCTGTCAATTGCACAACAACATGAAAAACAAATAGAAGACCGCGTACTTTTATTTCAGGTAAAAATTAATTACGGTTTACAGACACTTTTTAAAAAAATGATGGCAACAAAAAAGCTTAGAGAAATTTTGCTTTTGAACAACAGCTTAATAAATTTCTGTACCATTTTACGATTTAATTTTACCTCCACGTCATTTGGCTAATGTGGTGTAGAAGTTAGTCTTAGAACTTTGCACTAATAAAACTCATGTTAAAGGAATTATTTTGACATACTTATAACCTTTGAGGGATGCTGCTACAGTACATTTATTTTTCTTCAAAAGAAACACTAAAATTGGTGAAATTCTGCAACAATACTGGCGTTACCTAACGGCAAAAAAATTATCGCAATAGAAGGTCACCTCTCAGAATTCCGCTTGCCAGATAAAATAAAAGACCAGGTTGTGTAGGAAGGGTTTTACATTTTGTTTTACATTCTCATTATTAGAAACAATGATTGCTATAGGTGACCTCCTAGTCGCTTCCTTATTTTCAGTTTAGGTTCGCATGAGTGTCAGATAGTTTCTCTTTCAATCGTGACTATCTACGTAGCTTCATCTTGAAAGGCGTTCACAATCGTGATTATCAGAAAAAAAATTATCCAACACGTATCTTGATCAGAAATCCTGTTCTTTCTACAGCACCGGCTAGCAGGAAACACATATCCGTATACCAGCTGTTGTCTAGATGATAAAGATCACACTTTCTGAAGAACAAAAGTGTTGTTCTTCAGATTTAATTTCCCAATTTTTATCTACCGGATTCGACTTGGTCCGATTTTCTTTTCAATTCAACAAATTTTGTACCACGTAAATTGCGTTGCTTAGTAGTTTCTTCGCTTGCTTCGTGCGACCCCTATTTTGTAGCATAGAAAAAAGTATTTGGTACTATCACTCTTTTTGTTTGTTCAAAATTTTACTTTTGTTTTATTTTTTTTACATAGCATTTCTTTCTCTAGTACATGAATATGTTGCTCATGTACTGATTGGTCAGCCTACGAAATGTTATTCCATATTTTCCATTTCCATGTTTTGCAGATAGACAGAACGCAAAACTATTTTGTAATACCCTAGACTAAATGAAAAGTCAAGGCAAATTGCTTGATTAAAGGATGAAGGTATTCCACAGCCAAGCACTACTCTCTATTAGTTTCACATTGACGATAGTTACTAGTTGTAGATTATCTTGAAAGCAATATATTGGACAGGCTATGGGCTCAGAATTCAACAGGTTCTATATGCTCGAGAATGAAATAGAAGTATTTTCTTTTTCATTCACTATGGTTCACTTTCTTGTTCAACTTCTTGCAAGATTCTTCTCGCTGGATAAATCAGTCAGGATTCTTTATCTCATTTTTCTGTTGATTTTTCATCTTTTTTTCAAAAAGATTCTTGACTAAAATGGCAAGATTCATCAGCGATGTAATCACCACTCGGTTTTATAGAGGTCTGTGCTGTATATGAAGTACGTTATTGATCGTAAGTTTTTCAGGAAATTTTATTATTCTAACAAGTTTGTCGAGAGATGATAGAATAAGTAACTATATGTATGCCCGTGTTGACACGTGTTATAACCATGCTCTATATATGTTGATTTTTAATTCACTCAACCGCATTTGAAAAGCCGAAATTGATAGCAGAGGAATTTTTTAACATAATAAATATATTGCTTTAATTAGAGGACAAAGCCTACATCCGTTTACGATGAGAAGTCCCCCGTAGAAACGTACATGAATAATGATGAAACAAAATGGCTAAAAGAATAAACAGATTGGAACGGGAATCGAACCTGTGATGATGATGAAAAGAACATTCGTCATACTTTGCTTTATTCTATTAACGAGCCCTCGAATATATATACATAAACTATTCTTTTATATAGTATATGCGAATAAAATTCATCTCGTTCTGTCTATGAAAAGTGCAAGATTTACTACCACAGCCACTCTTGACACTCTCAAACTTAATGATGAGGTCTCTTGACACAAAAACACTAAACTGCATTTTGTGAGCTGATTGATATTCACGTAAATATTCAGCGTTCAATTGGCTGTTATTTTGGCTAAGCCTGAGTATCAACAAACATAAAATAGTAAGAGAGGGCGTTACGCGAAATTAGACGGATAAAACGTGGATTCATCCCCTAGTGAATGTACTTGGAACAAGTACTTGATGACTTGATGCGTACTTGGGAAGTACGTGACAAGTTAAGTACTTGGTCAAGAACTTGCCAAGTGTCGTTACTTGACTTGCTTCAGCCAAGTACTTGGACAAGGTAGTCACCCTTTACTTTTCCATTGACCGCTTGTATATAAACACCACAACATCAATCGTTATACACTTATAAAATAAACGTATATATTTCTACTGAGTTGAACAAACTTAGTAGCCGTGCATCTATTTACTATACAAAAATGGGGTATGGTTGCAGAATACGTACAAAATGAAAATAAACGGAATAAGTATTTGACTGACGCTTTTGAAGTAAATTTACTTGCATTATGTCAGCCAAGTACTTACATTTTACTTGTCAAGCACTTTCTCAAGTACTTGATAAGTAAATTTACTTGGAAAAATCCACAAGTACTATTCTCCTTACTTAACCCAAGTACTTGGCTCAAAAAGGAAATATTAATAATATCAAATATTTCATCGTCTATTATTAAAAACAGCTGCATTAATAATCAAGTTTTTGATTAATAAGTCGTTGCCCGCAAAGCATATTATTTCATCGTCTATTGTTATCGTTTTTGAAATACGTTCGTACATTTTTCGTAGTCGTATATCTTCATATCGAGACAACTTACATGACTTGACTTAATTTTTTTTGAAATTGATAAAAATGACAATTTTTCTAATTTGTATAAATAAAGGAGTGCAAAAGTTCAATGAGAAAAAATTAACACATGATCCCTAGCATGTGAACTGTTAATTAATATAGAATGTTTTTTAATTCTTTTAAATATCTTTTTCATTTTTTGTTTAAACAAAAGAACTAGAAAAACCAAAAACATGTTTTCCTGCTGGTTTTATGAGATATTATTTATTCAGAAGGCTTGAAGTCTTCCGATTTTTACCGAAGCAAAAATCCGCATTTCGACTCTTTTAAAATACACTTTTGAGCTTTCTAAAAAACCTAAAGGCTTTATTTATAAATCCTTTTGCTTTTTAAATTACGTTTTTTTCTGTTTAAGAAAAAATTTCTGCTGAATATTTCACTACTAAACCTTTTTGAGTTTGGTACCATTGTTCCTAAACCTTTTCGGATTTTCAAAATACGCTTTTTTTTAGAGAATAGTTAGAAAGGGCTGGCTAGAAAGATGTTAATTACTGAAAAATGGTTTGCTGCCTGGAATGACGATTACAATAATTGTAAAGATGTAACTAAGATGATTCGGTACGTTAAATCCTTAACAAGGTATTGCAGTCTTTCCCTTATAGCTGACAAAGCATATTCCGTTGTCTGGTTGTCTCTGAACTGTATTTTAGTCTCTACTGATATGCTGAAACTCGTTAATTTTATTCATTGCAAGACAGAACGATTCCAACGTTTTCTTTCACAGTCGGTCATCACGAATATCGGTTTTACTTGTTGTTCAATACTATCATAAACTCAACTGTAACTTTATGCTTAGGTATCTC